TTTTTCAGAATAAGAAATTGCAAAAAATATAAATTTTTATTGGAAAAAAATTGAATAATATATTCAAATAATAAATAATAAATCAACAAATAAAAAATAAATAGCATAATTGTTGTTGAAAAATCAGGAAGAATCTTAAAACTTTTGTATTTAATTTTTTTTTGATAATGTTGGTTTTCAAGATAAGTTTTTTTATGTAAAGTTTTTAAATGAACATCTTAGATATTTCTATATATCTTTGGACTTTTATTTTAAACGAATCATTCTGAAATTTGTTTTTTGAGAAAAACAAAGTAAATCAAATTCAGATTCTGCGAAGAATGGCGAATTATCAATGATAGGTCTTATCGAAATATTGTAAGATAAATTCCAATTTTCTTAAAATCAATATTCAAAACCTTCGAACACAATATTAATATAGCTGAGCTATATTATTATATATTATTATTATATATTTTCAATATATTATATATTGAATTATTATTATATATTTTTCGTTGTATTTTAAATTTAGAAAAGTTAGGAAAGGATTTTAAATCTAAAATTTTAATTTATGCTATTTATTTCCGAAATGTTAATAAAAAAATATTATGATACAAAAAAATTGAATATTGCCTATATAAATATTAACATTTGTCTTCACGCATCGTCAAGTGTATGTGTAATAGTTATATGTGAATGATATAAGACTGTAGCGATATCAATCCTAGTATGTATAGAGTAAAAAAGTAAAATCCAAGTAAAATCCGTTATAATAATTTCAATCGTCCAAAAAATATTTTAATGAAAATATAAATTTAATGTAATATAATATAAATTTAATTTAATATAAGAATATTTATTATTTTTAATAAATGTATAATTCTTCGTCAACAATATCTGGCAATATCTATAGTAATTATTATTTTTATTATTTTTTCATTTATTTCAATTTCAATAATTAAAAAATGTTTCGATATATCGTACGCAACAAATATTCAAAATTATAAGTATATTGTTATATAGAAATAAAAAAGTGTTAGTTTTGATTTGAATCATATATATTTTTCTATCGACCATCGTAATCTTACGTCGTCATTGCATTGCTAAAATGTAAGAAAATCTAGTGCTGAATAGAATTATTATTATTAATTATATTATCGGCTACATGACATTCGATGATCATATTGTTATTGCGAAGACTATATTACTTATATCTATATAGATAGAATTCAATATATTGAAAATTTGTTATTAATATCTCGGAAATTAATAATTAAAAATTCAAAGCTAAAATTTTTAGATTTACAATCTATTCTTTTTCTTTTTTTTAAATTTCACGTTTAATTGAAAGCATACATTTTTCGGAAAAATATTCAAATTTTTAATTTTTAAATATAATTATATATATACGTAATTCGTGATAATGGATAATGAACGGATAAAAAAATTTAGTTTCTCATAGATTATAATGGACTTAAAATGTTTTAAATTCAATACCGATAAAAATAAAATATAAAACAATCTTTAAGCGATTAAAATTACAATATTTGAAATTATAATGAATATTAATATCACATTTGATCATAATCTATTACTTGTTTTATATTTTATTTTTATATTTTATTTTATTTATTTCACAGATTCTTTGAATGCACAAGGTTTAGATTTCATTTTAAATTTATTATAATCCATAAGAAAGTAGCTTTTTAATCAATATATTTATTACATTATTATTTGTTGACTGGACAGTGAAAGTAATAAATAAAAATATATGGATTTAACTGAATGAATATATTTAATTATGCATGATTGCGTATCTATTTACAAAACATTTGAAGTATGTGTATCGAAGAAAAACAAATAGATATCAACTATAAAATAGTGATGTTGGCAACATTCAATAATAAAACCATATAAAATTTCAGTGAACTTTAAATTTTATAACAATATTTTTAATACTGAAATATGTTTATAGAAAGAATACATAGACATATTTATATGTAGACTATCAGAGATGAAATATAATATAAAATATAATATAGATAAAATTTTATTTAATAATAATAACAATTTTTTTTTATAAATATGTTTAAAATAAAAACTAGACTATTGTTTTAGGAAAAAGATATATATATTATCATATATATTAAACAATAATAGTAAATAATAATAACTGTAATATATTTTAAAATCTTTATACTGTTTTTTTTTATATAATTATTATATTTTCAATTAAATTAGTGAACATATTTCTCAATAATATAAAGTTTTTATTTCTTCTAAAGTTTTATTTAAAAATATGATTTTTTTTATTTAAAAATGTGATAAATGTTTTATTATTCATATTCGTATTGTATAATGAACAAAACATTATTAAGTTTAAATAATCAAATGTTTTACAGGATTAAAAACTCTTTAAAAAATACTCATCTTTCTTATTTTTTATTATTCTGTTAGTCTTTTTTATTTTATCTTTGTTTTCTAAATAAATATTTGTTTTAATATTTCCTATATTAGATAATTTTTGCTAATTTTTCGTTTAGACCACATAGATCGTATGTGTTGTTTCGTTTCATTTCTCATCTCATGTTATTAGGATTAATATTTTTTTTTTTCTAAAATATGTTTCAAAATATTTAGAATGTTGCAAAAATCATAATTATTGAATAAAAAGCTTGGTATTTAAGATATAAAAAAAATAAAAAAAATAAATAAATATATAATTTTATAATAAATTTTTTCAAAGATTTCGAATAACTTAAATTTCAGAGTGGAAATATATATGGAATATATATGCGACGATTGAATAACATTCTACATACTTAGGATATCTTTCTGCATTATTGGAATTCGATAATGACTAACTTTTTTGAATCATATGATTTTAATATTTTTTTTTCGAATTAATAATAAAATATTTCAATTAAATAAAAAATTTATCTTTTATCATTATTATATAAAATGCTATTCAATTCAATAATTCGTTACTGTTTTANAATTAATTTCTTTTTAATGTATTATGTAATTTATAAATATAATTATATTAATTATTTTTTAAATTATTTATTTTTATTAATTATTTGTTTAAAATAAAAATTAAATATTAAATATTCATTGATTTATTTTATTCACTTTTTTGCATTCTTTAAATCAATAACTCTTTAACTTTATAACATCATTTTCATATTTTTATATTATTTTTAAAAATATTTGACATATTTAATTTATCATTAATGATAAAAAATAAATTTTATTAATATCAAATATAAAATTTTAGTATTATATAATTATAATAAATAATTATTCGAGATAGGAATTTTTGAATTTTTTAATATATTTATAATATATCAACATTCCGAATGAATTTTTCCTTTGGTTTTAATTTTCAAAATATTTACAAAAAAACGATTATTATTATTATATTAAATTTATTTTATATGTATACACAGTATATAATAAATATATATAATAGGTGGTATACTGATAAAAAAGCTAATTTCTTCATGTGTTTAAAATATTTCAAATTCCGAACTTGGAATTCCATAGATTCGAAATATAACATTTTAGATATTTCTGAAGAATTAGATTTTTGTAGTTTACTTATTACATATTAATAATTGTCATGTATTTACATTAACGAATATATAATAACGAAATAAATAGCAGCTGTATGCTTACATGCAATCATGATATGTATAAAAGGCATTTCATAATAATAATAGCAATTTTTTTTACAAATATCTTGAAAGTTAAAACGTCTCTATTGAAATATATTTATACATACATATATATATATACATATTAATGTATGAGCGTCTCTATTATACATATTAATTATTTACACGAGAGAGAGAGAGAGAGAGAGAGAGAGAGAGAGAGAGAGAGAGAGAGAGAGAGAGAATTTTTATATTGTAAAAAATAATTTTTACAACTTATCCAAAAATAATTAACCTAATTGTACACATTGGATATAGACATGATTAAATATTGAAATATGCAGCTTATCTAAATGTTGTATAAAAATCTTCACTTTTTTTGTCAATTATCGAATGGTGATAATCATAGTGATATTTTTCTAATATAAGATATTCTATATAAAATTCGATAATATCATAAATTATGACAGAACTATAATTCTTGATTGTTTTCAAGGATTTTATATATTTTATAATTTGGATTTACATTTAATGATTAGGCATTCTTTTTATTTCTCTATTTCTATTTTTTTTTTAATATTGTTTGTTCTATTTGTGCTGTTTCTTATATTACATTTTAATTTCAATGCTCGATTAATTTTGAAAAATTTAATTACTTGTAAAGAAATTAAATATATATATTTGATTTATCAAAATTACCAAAATCTTTTATATTTAAATAAATAATAATTTATATTTAAATAAAAATATTTAAATAAATAAATAAAGGAAATTCTATAAATATGAAGACTTATATCATTATAATATTATCGACTATTCGTTCAGTCAATTACTAAGGGAAAATAGTATTCATCACGTAAAATTTGGATAAATAATATTCAATATATTAATTATTTTATTGTATTAATCACTCAGTATGATATACGGAGCTAAATATTTTTGTATTAATATCTCAAAAAAAATAATTGATTAAAATGAAAATTTTATAATTTTATTTTTTGAAATTGACTTTTCCTTTGACATCATTCCTTCAAATTTCAACTATTGATATCAATTTTCGAATCTTTATTCTATTATATATATATATATAATTTTGTTTATAGATGTAAAACTTTCGATTAATAAACATTTTTATTTTTTGTAATTATATTCTAAAAAATCTTTTTGAATTAACCAATCAAATATGCTTTTCTTTCATCAGATTTCATATAAAACACATATATTTACATATATAAATATAAATAAGACTTTCTAAGTTTTACAAATATAGATATACATTAATATAGATAAGAAAAAATGTTAGAAAAATAAAAAAAAAAATTTTAATACTTAAAAACGAAGTAAATTTGATTGTTTCTGCAGATATGGGGAGTGTCGTAGGCAGTAACGTAAACATAAGCAACGTAACGACAAAGAGAATGGACTCAACGACGTTCCGGCCAGAAGCGACGTCAACCCTCAGTGAGCGGGAGCAACTTAAAATTGAATTTTACAAAACTTATGATGTTATGACTGGAGTCAGAATCGCAGCAACTCTCGGTGGTTTTTTCGGTCTTATGATCCTTCTGCTTGTTTATAAAAGCAGGCAAGTCATTTTCTTCACCATCTTTATTCTTTTTTTAATGCTATTCTATGCAAAATGTAATTTTAAATAGATTTTGTTTAAGATTTGAACATTAAATTATGCATTTATAAAAATTATCAATGCATATTTGAACAAAATTTATTTGGACATTTTTGCGAAAAGCATTGTCTTGAAATTTAAAAGGAAGGTGAAAAGTGGAAGAAAAAGACATTTTAAATATAAAATTTCAACTTTAGCTAATATTAATAAATATCTTTCAATTCTATACATTCAATGTTTATATAGATCTTATTAACATATTGAATGCTGTCCATTTTGACATTATTAATTAATTTATTTATTTATTAACATTATTACATTTTCGTTATAGTAATTATTGTCATCAATTGTCAAATAATTGATGATAAGATAGTAATTTCAATTTTTATAAAATTAATCTCCTATTTACTTGTTCATGTGAACATATCACGATAGTTAGTATCTAAATATAAATATATACTATAATATTTATCATTTATTATTTAATATTTTGTTAATAGAGAGCTTAGATATTCCATTAATTCTTCAGATCTAATTACGATTTCTTCGAAATGCGAAAATAAAATATAAAAAATTCTCAGACAATTGAAATTATAATGACCGAAATGATATTAATTTCATACTTAGTATTTTTTTATACTAATATTAATTATTGTAATCTTGGTCCAAGAGTTATTTTTAAAATTTAATTTTCATATTTCACAGATCCATTTCAAATTTAGTATGAATAAATACTAAGTATAATAATATTAGTTCATTTTTTGTACATTTTGGATATTGACTATGATATTTATTACATAATAATAGAAAAGTGACAATCATATATTGATGCATACACATTATCATGAATGTAATATAAGCAGCATTCAATGTACCAAAAAACTTTTTTTTAATATTTCGGGAACTAACAAATATTCAAAGCTACAATTTTATATTTGAATTTCCCTCTTCTCTTTATCATTTCTTTTAAATTTTTAGTCAATCGATCATTGTTTTTGGAAAATTTTTTGTTTTATAATTAAAAATATTTACAAAGCTTAATTGAAATTCATATTTCAGAAATATTTCGAAATTTTTTAGAACATATTTGCTTTAAAATTTTAGAAAATATTTGTTCCAATTTTTATAAAGATTTGTTTCTAATGCTGTAATATATATCTAATATTTTTAAATTTATGTGTTTAATTTTGTTTTAAGATTTTGTTGTTAAGATTTCTTAAAAAAATTTATCGGTAATAATGTAGAAAAAATCTAGAAAAAAATTTGATGATTTTGAAATATATTATAGAAGATGAAATTTTGAACAACTTTTCTCTATAATGGCTGCTCAGCTTTAATTTTCAAAATATTTGGAAAAAATAACTACTATACTAAAGTTTGCCTAGATGTATGCATCTGTTATTATGCTTATGCATCACATTTATTAATTGTTTATGTAAATACATACAATGCCTAAAGCTCACAATGTATAATAGAGTTAATGTCACATTTAATAAGTGACATTTAATAGTATCTATTTAATAAGCTATTATCTAATAAGCTTGGATATTCAGATTTATAATAGACAGATTTTATTTTGGAATTTGGTCAATCAACAATTGTTTTATATGAGATTATTTTATATAAAGAATCCGTATAATATCCAAGATCGATATGAATTGGAATTCAAATATTTCGAATCCATTATATAAAATTCACGAACAAATAATTTGATATGCTATTTATGATATAAATATGATATATATAATATATATATCAAATATTATAAATATTATAATATTATATATTATAAAATATATTTATAAATATAAATATATTTATACAAATAAATGACGGTCACATGTTTATATATACGCTATCATAAACACATATACATATAGATGAAATTTTATATAATAATAGCGATCTTTCTTTTACACATATTAAGAAATTTATTAAGCGGCGATTATATGAATATATCTTATTATCAAATTGTTCAAAACCTTGTCCTCTATAACATACTTTGAAATTATGGAAATTGATAAAAAATTCTTTTTTTTTTTTTATATAAAAAGAATTGTTTATTTATTTTAATTTTTAATTAAGATAAATAAATAAAGAAATGAATTTTCTTGAATAATTAAATATAATTTTCATTTCAAAATAGGTGAATAATTTTCAAAGATACTTGAAGAAAATTATATTTATTAATTGTTGTTAAAAAAGATATACACATAAGAGAAAAATAATAAAAAGAGAGTATATGAAACAGATGTAAATCGAGCAAACAATTGGAGGATCCAAGATTGACTGCAGCTGCAGCCGCAGCTGTAGCTGAAGCAGAAGCTGAAGAAAGAGCACTTGCAGCTGCTCTCGAAGCCATCGCTAGATTACCACCTAGACCAGATCGGGGTCCTAGAAGATCTCTCTGTGTCGAGGTCAGTTTATTTATAAAGCGAATTAACAATAATTATTTATAAAAAGATACATTTTCAAAAATCTTCAGATATGTTGTCAAAATTAATATTTTGAGTTGTTTATTATATATGACCACTGCTACCTTTTAGTTTATGAGATATTCATAAAAATATTTTTAATACAGAGTATTAATATATTCGTAGAATACCATTGAAGAATCAATTCTAAAAACCAAAACAATCATAAAAATATATAAAAATATTAGTTGAAATTTATTTATTATATTATGAATAATTGAAATTATGTCATGCGAAATAGAATTAAAATAATATTATTCCTATTCATCGCCATTTCTCTCCATTTATCTCCGTCTCATTTTATTTAACGTAAGCCTAAATTATTGTTTATAATTTAATAAATAAATTTTCAATCATTTCAAACATCATTTCAAACATTTTTACATATCATCTTTTATATATTTTTTTTTAATCTTTAAAATTCTATCTTCCAAAATTCTCTCACGAATATTTTAACA